TTTTAGTTTTTGATGTTATTAGATCAAAATGTATTAAGCTCTTAATTTTAGTCAAAAATTTCTCAGAACCTGATTTTTCTAGAAACACTCCCATATTTTTAAAAAATATTTTTCATTTTTAGAAATTTGTGTAATGATATATAATTTAATAATTTTTTTTATACAAGTATTTTAAATATTATAAATTTTTTTAATTAAATAAATTAATCTAAAATAGTTTTAATTTAGTTAAATAAATATTATAAAATTTGATCAAAATTTAACTAATAATATAAATTACATTTTATTTAATTTAAGTTTTTAATAAAGTTATTATATAAAATTTATATATATTAGTATTTTAAAAATGCAATTTACTTGATAAATATTAAATTAATCTTAATAAAAATTAAGATTTAACTAAATTCAAATTTATAAAATAATTTATTTAAATTATAAATAATATGTTTAGATTAAAGTATTAAAATAAAATAAAATAAAAGTGAATTTGTATATTATTAACATTTAGAAAAATATATTTACTTTACAAATACAAATTAACTTTGATAAATGTTAAAATTTAACTAAATTTAAATTTGTTAAACAATTATATTTAATTATAAAAATCAATTTTTTTTTGATTAAAATACTAAAATTATAATATTACTTAAAATTTTATCCTTTAAACTATAAGTATAGAATTGTTTCTAAAATATTTTAGAAAACTTAGAATATTTTAATATTAATGATTATAAAAAAATAAAATAAAATTTTTAGATTTATTATATTATAATGTATCTAATATTAGTATTTTTAAACTTTTAAAATTTATAATTATTAATATATATTAATTTTTTAATTTTTAATTTTTAAAATAATTTATTATTTTAATAATTACAAAGATATAAAATTTAGTTTATTAGATTTACTACATTAATATTTATTAAATAGTAATATTTTTATATTTCTGAGATTGATAGATAGCAAAATATATGAGTTTAAAATTTTAATTTTTTTATAATAATTTATTATTTATTTATCTTTAAAATTACTAGTTAATTACATTTTTTTTTTTTAATTTTTACTTAGAATACATTATAAAATTTATTATAAAAGTATTAATTTTTTAAAATATATTTTAAAATATTTAAAAATAATTAAAAAAAATTGTAATTAATAAATAAAATTGCTTATAAATTTGTAGGCGAAACAGTTGAAGGGATAATACTTATCATATTTTTTTTTTACTTTTTCTTTTCATAATTAATTTAATAGTTAAATTTAATATATTTTATAAATGCTAATTTATATGCAATTTACATTGTAAATGGTTTCTTTATATCCATTCAAATATTTAATTAAATTATTAAAATATTATTTTATAAGAAATAATACTTCTTTCTATGAATCTCAGTAGTATTTTATTTATATTGGTTAAAATTAATTGATTTTTTAAATATTAAAAAAAAGTATCTTTATCTATAAAGGTAAAGATTTTATATTTATATTATAATTATTTAAAAAAATAAGTATTTGTTTGTTAATTTAAAAGTTTAAATAAATAAACAAATCTGTTATAGAAAACAATTCAGTAATTTTACATAAATTTTCAAAATAATCAGCATATTTCTTAATTATATAATTTTATAATCTTGTAAAATTCTTCTTTTATTAGATAAGTAATAAAAAAAAAATTTTTTTGTTATATATATTAAAAAATAGTAATATCGATTATGAAAAATAAAATTAGGTAGAAGTCGGTTGATCGGCGAAGATTATGATTGGCTAACATTAAATGTTATTTTTATTATTAAAAACTTTAAAAAATGGCTTGACTTATTTAATAAATAAATAAATATAACATGTTTTTAAGGTTAAAAATCGGTCTAACCAATGTTCTTAATAATTTTTGTAAATAGTATTGACTAATTAAATCGATAACTGTTCCTAACGCTAATATATATAATAGATAAAATTTGATAGTTCATACTAACATGCGATTTTTACCATACTACCCGAGATTGTTTTCAATTTACATACTGATTGAACTTATAGTGCCATTTTAATTTTCATTCCCTGCCATTAGTCCGATCATCGATAAACCATTGTTGATTTATCTCACTGCATTTGAAAATTTGTGTTCCAATCCGAGTCAATCAAACAAATGATTTACTATTTATATTAAATAAAAAAAAAACGAAAATTTCATCTTTTATTGCTTGAAAATATATTCACATACGGAAGTTTTTATAACAGCTTTCAGATTTATACTTATATTAATAATCTACTCGGAGAAAAACTTTTTAACTTGTATTTTATCATTAAAAAGTTATATATAAAATAAACCCTCCGAGAATTTACATGTCAAGGTTCGTGTTTACTGACGTTACCTAAAAAGTGGAGTCAAAACTCCAGCTATTTTTGTTCATATTACTTTAAATGAATATTATCCAAAAATTTTTTGTTTTTCAGTATCACACTAATGAATAGCAACAATGATATTTCCAAAATATTACGAAAACAAAATCAATGGACGATAGACGATTTAAAAAATGATATTGATGAGATTCCATATTTGTCACCTGCAAATATAACCACAAACAATCAAGATGAATCATTCGTCGGTAATAATAATTCAGGAATTCTATATAAAGACAATATTTTATCAGATACAGGATCAAACATTTCTTCTTTTACTCCTCGTAGAGAAAGTTTTGCGTTATCAGATTCAGAATCATCAACATCATCATTATTAATACCATCAAATATAAGGAGACGAGCACTTTCTACATCTTCAAGGCCAAAAGATAGATATTCAATGCATGAACTTGGATCTGCTAAAATTGATGATAATAGTCTTACTAGAAAATTTTTATCACCAACAAGACACAGTATGGCTTTTGATAATGGATTTAGTATTAATAATATGATAGTGGAAAATAATTCATTTGAGGATCGTGAATGGAATATAGATCGTGAGAGAATTGGTAACGCTGGTAAAGGTTTCGGGAATTTAATTAATGATGAAAGTAGAAAAGGTAAGTAAGATTATTAATTATATATTGCAAATTCCTTGAATGAATAATAATTTTATTTTATTATATTTATTAGGATCTATTGCTGATTTAATCGCTGATGTAAAAGATGAGGATGCTGTCGAGTTAGCATTGATTACTCAAAGAAATGCGGATCAAAAAAATCGAATACATCATACTGAAATGGACATTGAGAAAGATAATACAAAAAAAGATGGTAAAAAAAATTTCGTTAAGATACATATTTTTGAAATAATTTATTAATTCATCCCCCCCTTTTTTTTTAAAAAAAGGAAATTTAAATATTAGATTTCATCCTTCGGAAACAACTTTATCAAATTCCAGAATGTGTAAACAATTTCTTGAAAATAAATATCATGTATTATTCAAAATAATTAATAATAACGGAGTATATAATCCTTTACAAATTATTAAAAATAGAAGAATTGATATTGCAAGTGATGGGGCGAATCATAGTTTGGGATCAAGTGAAAAATCTAGTGGAGGAAGTAGTAGCAGATTAATTTCGAATATAATTAAACCGCGTAAAGCGTTACTACATCACAAAGAAACGAGTATTTGGGATGTATCACATATGGAAATAATTAAGGACTATGAGCAAATAAATAAATTTGATCAAGTTCTTCTTAATAAACAAATGAGTAGTGATAATGGCTATGAAACTAATAGTGAAGTTGGTATATATATTAATGATAATGTGGCATCTGAATCTGATGAGCATAAAAAACGATTGAAATATCGCCGTTTATCGCAAATATTTATTCCTCCAACACATGAAATGCAAGCTATGAGCCCACAGGGGGGAATCAGAAGTAATAGCGGACAACCGAAAAAGACAACCCATTCTAGAGCTTTGAGTTTGAATAATATAGCAGCTGCATCCCAAGGAAAGGAAGATTCTCATGGTAAATCAAAAAGATGGTCAATACATTTGTTCAAACGAAAAGATAAGAAACATAAAAATGAATCAAGTTCATCCGATATTAGCATTATACAGGAAGCACCAGACTGTTCCATAACATCGCAAACGAACGCTAAAAGTTCATCTGATTCATCTTCAGGTGATCAAACTTCCCGTAATTCAATGGAAGAAGTCCGATTTTCATCTGAGAAAGGCAAAGATCCACTGCGACATGAAGATAAAACATATAAGGATGAGGAAATATATTACAAAAATGGGGTTAAGCATGAAAAAATTATGTCGAAACTATCCGGAGATAAGAATAACGATCAACTTTCCGTTGATGATTGGTCAGATATTGCACAAAGTCGCGATTCGGAAGATACAGACAACAGCAACCATTCATCAACCATACATTCGGTAGATTTTGAATCGGTAATTTATCGTAATGTTCTTAATTTTTATTTAATTTCTATTTATATATTTACTAATTATTTGGAATTAGGATGTGGTCGTCAATGATGCGGTTGATGTTTCAAGACGAAATACTGCGGGATATTTAAACGTCGAGGACCATTACGGTAAATTTCTTGGAGATGAACAACATGTTGACAATCGTTTATCTCGTTCATCAAGTGAGAACAAAACAGCCGAAGATAGCACAGGATCAGATGGTAAATGAATAAAGATCTTTGCAGCCGATTTTGAAATATTTTATTAACGTATTTTATACTGTAGAAGAATATGAAGAAGAAATTGTTGGTAAAACAATTGTTGGTGGTGAGACGGTCCTTGTTAATCTTGATATATTACCACAGGAGCTCGTAGATTTAGTGGCCGAGCAAGGCATTGTCGGTTGTAGTACCAAGAATGGACACTTCGGTAAGTTAAATATACTATAACAAATTCATTGTTGACTTTATACTCAAAACCAATTTTACTTTCAGTTGAATTGGACGTCGGATTAAATGAACTTTTCAAATTTCGTAAATTAATTGGTTATGGTGGTAAGTATATTAGGATAATATATCAAAATGGATTTATATGCTAGCTAATTTTTACTACTTTAGTTGACTTGCTGGACCTTCAGATATCACTTGTATATGATGATCCTGAAGATGGCAAAAGGTATTTGGAACCTATATTTTTAAATGACTTCAACATATAAAATATTCATTAACATACAAAATTTTAGTCTAAACCAGCAAGATGCGGATAAAATAATTAAAGAATATGATGAACGTATTGAAGAGACAACTAAATTTATAGAAGAAAATAAGGTTTAGTTTAATGACATTTGTTGTTAACGTATGTATCGACTGTTAAAAGAATTTTTATGAAAATTATTTTATAGATGTTACTTACCGAGAGAGACGATTATATATCAAAAAATTCTCGTACATTTGAACACCTTGACGTTCCATTTGTCCTTTCACCAACATCGAATATTCGAGAATTTACCTTTGATAAAATTAATCGACACAATCCATCACCTTCACAATCGATAATGGCTGAATGCAAGTTGAACATTGATGAAGGAATTGAATTATTGAGTGATAAACTAGTCAAAATTGAAAGCAAGATGAATAAGCTAGAAAAACAACATTCTAAGTAATTACTTTTGTTTTCTGATGAGAGAAAAAAAAAAAATATGGCAAAATTTTATTGATAATTTATAAATCATTTATTAAAAGTTTTTCGGAAGAAATGAGAAGCATGCAATATGAAATCGAAGAGATGACATCAGACATCAACAATGATTATTTCCATGAGGTAAGTCATTTATTATTAAACTATTTTCACGTTAATAATAATATATAATAATATTATTATATTAATGATTTATAGTTGAAAATTCTTGAAGATGAAATTCATCTTTTAATAGCTGAAAAAGGAAAGTCCCCTTGGATTGATGTATTTTATTTGATGATGAGTTATGTGTTAGCGGGTAAATTCGATTAAATAAATAAATAAATCTATATCTATCCGTATATTTTTTAACCAAGCCTTTAATACTAATTTTATTCATTTATTGTTAGGTATTATGTTTATGTTCTGGTTTATTGTTGCTTGCGTAAAATTATCTAAGAAGATATCATTATTTCCTCGAAGAATGTGGAGATCAGTTCGTCGAAATGTTGCATAAATAAAGAGTGAAGGGATTGTTAGCAGCTTAAATAGTTTTATTTTTATTTTTAACTTTCTACAATATTATTTTCAATTACATCAAGTTTTCATTGCATTTGCATTATTGTATAATTATTAATTACGGTGTATTTTTAATAGCTCATTTGTTTTATTATAGAATATATTTTTATTACATTATTTATTTATTTATTAGCATCTATACAATTTCATAAATAGGGAATACTATGTTATTATTATTTTATTCAATTCATAACTTTTACAATCATAGCATTAATTTATTTATCTTTAAGGATATGACAAAATTCTTCTTTATATACAAATCATTATTTAATATAACCAAGCAAATTTCCATTAACTAATTATACTAAATTGAAATTGTTCTTTTAAAATCAAATTCTTTTATAAATTCATCTCATCAATATTCTTATTAGTGAAAATTCCATATAACTCACTATTTTTCAGTATAATATCCCTATCAAATTGATAATTAATATTTAGAATAATATCATAAAATCTTTCCCTGGGACCATAAATTTTATGATTTAATTCCCAGGAAACTTCGGGTATAATTTGATGTAAGTATTCACCAATTTCTTCCCCAAATTTATCTAAAAGAAAATATCCTATTTTACCGAAGGGTGATAACCATTTTAATAACGTTTTACTTAAATTGTCGTGATTGTTCATGGGTTTTGGTTTTAAATTAAGAGAAGTTATACCATTTGATATTGAAGTTTCTTGAGAAAATGTTATCGTAAATATAGTATTAAATTTTTCTACATTTATTTCAGATAAAGTTGTACAGATTTCTACTATTGATTGTTTTAATATTAATATAAAATTATCTAATTTGTTTGAAACCAATTTTGCAATCGGCGAAGTTTTGGTGGGTGATATCGAGGCTAATACATTATCATTTTGAGAATGTGGTGTTTGGGGAATTTGAAAATAATCAAATTCTTCTTCTAATTCTTCTCTAGAAAAATATTCGGAGCCTAATTATAAAAATAACATTAATTTCCTTGTAAATATAAAAAAAGAGGAAAAAAAAAAAATTTGACTTACCAGGTTCTGGCCACATAATTTTATTTTTACGGTAAAATTGCAAAATATAACGAAATAATTCACCATCCCTATCAATAAAATATTCATTTCCATTTGTAGGGTGCAATAATGCTTTATTGCGTTCTTGAAACATTATACCAAGTAAAGTTGTTGGATATGCCGTTAAAGTTGATCTATATGTTTCATACTTCAAAATACGGGAAATTTTTTTTTTTTTGGTTTAGACGGGAATATTAACTTTTTTTTATAAATTAATTTATCGTACCTTAACACCGCCTACATTTAAAATTATTCGTTCTCCTAGAGATTCTGGAAATTGGTTTAATGAAAGTTTTCGCGAGTTCATTTTATTTTTTTTTTAGGAATACGTTTTCTTTAATCGATGTTTATATTGAATAATTTTTTTTTTATCAAATAGCGATAAGATAAATCTTGTATTTTTGATAAGAAATAATATGGGGGGGGGGGGGGGGATTACTAAAGACTCATGGATACATCCTTATTTTTTATATTCGATCAATTTCGTATGATTGGTGCTATCCAAAATAAAAACGAATACAGTCCGGGGGATTTCTAAAAAAGGATCTAGTATAACAGAACCTTGACCGAAGTATTCTTTACCTCGAATTTGGTTTTAAGAGATTTTTCATTTAAATATGCAAAGAACTTTTTAGTAATGCAAAAGCAAAACTTAAGATAATACTTTACCATGTTTATTTTCTATTATTATTAAGAAATATTCCCATTAGCATTATGCGAAACCAAATAGAAATAATAATGATGATATCAGGAAGAACAATATTTGAACAAATAGGTCTCTTTGCTAAGTATTTTCCAGAATTAGTACCATTAGCGAATCTTTGAAACATTATTTTTTCTGTAAATGATATTATAATCATATTCTGGAGTTTTTAAAAAGAGTAGATAAACCAATGCATACTACAGTCTACTCACTCCAAATGCACCCTCTCTAAATGCATACTATATATTTTCTCTCTAAATGTACGCTCTTGTTCAATCTCAAGCATATAGAAATCATATAAAAAATTTTCTCTTTAAATGCACACCTTCTTTAGATGCACATTTTTTAAAATTTCACTTTGGTCCCAAGGGAACGTATTTAGAGAGAGTTGACAATTGATAAATTAAAAGCTGTAGTAAATTTAACTTTACCAGCATAACGTACCCAAATCCGACAAATATTATATTAGATAAATGTTATAAATTAGACTTGGAAGTTGTACAGGGGGGTGACAAAAGTATTGCACAGTCAAGAATTAGACAATTTTGTAAATTTTTAATAAGTAACTGAGCTATATATTTTTAATAACATATTAGCTAACTATTACCTAATGAAACATTTTGTTCATTGTTTGGTTTAGAGTAATGCATAGTGTAAAATCTTATTTTGAAAAAATCTCTACTTTTCAATACTTCGCATTTTATATGTTCTCGCTAAAGGATCAGCTTTTAGCTTTTTTTATGTTTTTAAGCTGCAAGTATTCACATAAGGTCAGTCAATGGCATCCTATAAAATTTATGATTTCTGAGTTGCTGGACCCAATTTTTTTTTGCTTTAATAATAGCATTTTAGCATTTTAACGAAAATATAATGCGTAATGTTAAAAAATAGAGATTTTTTAAAATTCGATTTTAAGAATTGCAATATATTAAATTAAACAATTCATAAAAATATTTCATTAATGCGATAGATGTCTAAAATGATTCTAATAAAATATGCCTCAGTTATTAATGAAAAATTTACTCAATATCTCATTTTCGATCATGTAATATTTTTGTCACCCCTCGGTATGTAATTAATTTATATAAATATGAAGCCTAAAAATCAAATTCACTAGTAGTTTTACCTTAATCTAGAAATACTGGCCTGATTATCTCCTGAGTTTTTCCTATTAGTTTATTTTATTTCATTTATTTTTATTATTTTCTTTTCTTTTATTCTAATTATTATATTTATTCTCTTATTAATAAACCTATTTTAAATTGAAACTACCTTGAAGTTTTAAATATTTTCATTAAAGTTAAAGATTATATTATTATAAGTTGCTACTTGATTCAAAAAAAAATACTAATTTTATATTATGTCTAAATACTGCAGTTTATAAGAACCCATACATTAATAATATGAATAGCCTTATATTACAATTATCTGTTTTGAATTTCAATATCAATAAAATATTAAAATTATAAATAAATATTAGCAAATAATTAATGAATTAAATTTCAAATCAAAGAATTAAAAGAAAACTTAGATATTTAATTAATTTATTACAGTTATAATAGAAATTGCATAAATTTAATAAATGGTAAGCTTTAAATAATTTTTGAAGTATTTAATTTTTTAATGGTTTAATAATAGTAATTTAATTGTTATTAAATATATAAAATCTCTTATAAAATATAATAATAATAAAAAAAATTTAAAGAAAATAATTTTTCAAATATATTGAAATAGTTGATATATTTATAAAGTAAGATACTTAAAAAAAAATATTTTTTATAGTGCAAAACTTTTATAATAGGAATTTAAAAAAACATTAATAAAATTTAATCTATTGATTGGATTTTCATCAAATAAAAAAATTGATTTATATTTGTAAAAATAAATCAATTTATAAAAAAAAGTTTTTTTTTTCAATTTTGTAAATTATGTAAACATTGTATAATATATTATAAGCCAATCAAAAACTAGAATTAAAATCATATGAAATAATTTATTTTATTTTATTTATTATTTCATTATAAATTGCATCAAATATATAATGATGAAACTTATATTTTTTAGCTGTAAACTTTGCCATTTTTTTAGTAATACTTTTTATAAATATTTATAAATCATTATAATTTTTATACATATTTTTGAATTGTTATTAAAGAAACTGAATTTAATGCTTTATATTTCTTTTACTGTACTTAATATATCTTTATATAATTCAATTTATAATAATATTTAAGTAAAATATATGAACTATAAAAGAATATGTGCTTTTCAACCAGTTATTACTAAGAAAATCTAAAAAAGTCCCTAATTATACAACCTGAAAGCTTATCAGATATATAATTAATCACCTTAATCTCCACGTCTTACTCTATAAAATCAGAGCACATACAGAAAACTACAGAGGGTGGACAAAATTTTTTGGGCACTTTTTTCACTAAATATAAAACTTATAATTCTTTAGTATTAATAATAAAAGTTCTAATATTATTTTATTTAAAGCTGTTAAGGCATACAATTCATATTAAGCTTTTAATACTTGGTTTAACCTTCCTTTACTATAATCATAACCTGAATTCACTGTAGTATACTATTAACTAACTTTTTAATAGTATGCATCAGAATTTTTTGCCATGCTTTTTTAACATATCGGTCGAGATCAGCAAAATTCAATGGTAGTTTTTTATATACACAAATGTTTTTTTTTAATCTCAGCCCATAAATTTTCAATTGGGTTAAGATCAGAACTTTGAACTAGCTAAGTTAATGTAAGTAAATTATTTTCTGCCTGAAAATTCATTGCAACTTTCAATTTGTGTAGGCGGGCATTATCTTCTTGGAACTAGTCATTATTATTAGAGAATATTCATCTCATAGCTGGTATTACATATTTATAAAAAATGATGATATATGATTCACCATTTACTATTTTAGATAATGTAACAATTGGCCCTTTTCCCTTTCGAGAAAAACAGCCTAATACATATAATTTAGGCTATATTTTACTGTA